GAGCGCTTGTCAAGAGGCTGTCAGGAGAATCACCAAATTACAGCTTGAGCTCTATTCTCAGTGAATTTCAGAAAGATTGGCCTTTGTGCCTCTGAAAATCTACCCCTAATTCCCTACAAAGTGATGACTTCCCATGTGGTCTATTATAATCACAATTACATGTGTTTGGTGCTTTGTATGGGTCTTCTCACTCATTATGACTACACTTAACATCATGGCAAAAAAAAGGGTAAGGATTCCTTCCTGCATTTGTAACTAAAGTGCCACCATAGCAGAGGGTTTATGTTGTCCAAGGTCTTTATTATGCAACTGTATGCAGATCACTGTGAATAGCATCGTTTGTCTGGTTCAGTGACTCAGCACCAAGGTCGCCAGGCATTTTTCAACTAACATTGAGACCATAAGTCTAATAAATGTGCTTGGTAATCACATAAAACACATTGCCATTGTTGCAGATGTTATTCTTTCAAAAGTATTGGCAAACACAACTAAAACTCAGCCCTTGTGCATGCTTTGACCTTTCTTAAGAATGCACCATCAAGAATGTCTGGCAGGTGAGACTGTTTAACCAGAGAAGACATGGCAACAGCTGGAAAATCAGTACTGCTAACAGCACCGTTGAAGTTTGCTTAGACTAAGTGTATAAGTGGTGAAAACAGAATGGAATCAGTGAAGGGCAAATTTTGTCAGAGAGTAGATTTTGAAAAGGAACATATCTACTAGTACTGCCAACACAGGTAGAAGTCAATTTCACTTTACAGCAACCTAGGCAAGCTGTCATGAATGTTCTAGATTATTTTGGTAGATGTTATGTAGCAGTCTATTCTTGCTGATCCACTGGCCTCTTGTTATCTGCCAGAAAATGCATTAACCACCAAATGCATCATGTCACTGTGAGCTTTGCCACTGCATGCTGTGATTGTCCATAAGATTTATTGGATGCTGCAACCACTGAACTCTTTGAAAACATATACATCATCTTCCAGGCTGGGTCAATAGTTTGCTAGTGTTAAGACCTCAGAAAGCAGAGATGTACTGCCCAGAACTTGTTGCAGCTCCACTGTCTTGAAATCTATCATATATATGTATAAATTTGGTACCAGGCATGAACAAGCCCACAACAGCTTGACCACTGAATATGCTCCTGACAATAAGGGAGGAAAAGGAAATTTAAAGCACACAATTTATAGAATTTATACCCATTAAAATTAGAAATAAAGGTCAATAATTCAACATTACTGCAAAATTCACTTAAGATCATTCCGTGGACGGAAATCCCACATGTGAAGGTGGCTGCTTAGTAAGGGGCTGAAATAACATTGTGGCAACAGAGGGTTAGGACAAAAAACAAAGCTGTTATGTTTCCTTAAATGGCATATTCAGTGCTGTTACAAAATCAGTCTCACTGCTTTTTTTTTTTTTTTTTTTTTTTTTTTATATATAATCCTTCCGTGGTTTCCGTGCTAAAAAACAGAAAAACTGTACCCTTCATTAATAGAGCTGTTTCATCAAGACACACAGAGTGTGTCCAATTCACTGTGTCAGCAGCATTTGACCCTCAGTTCAGTTTACCAGTAAGTAAACTATTCTAGGCCTGTGTTGTAACCTTTTAAAGATGATATCTGACAAGATGATTTTTGACAAATAACAATCTTTTCACTACAAACCTATTCCTTGTCAAGAAGACCAGTTCCCTGGATGCAACCCAACATTTTGTAAGCAATGGCTGTTCAGATACCCATTTTATCATCATTTCCTGCTCCAAGCCATACAACAGTCTTCCCTCAGTCAAAATATGAACGGTTTAACATTTTTTTGTGTTCCATCACAATGTAACAGCAAAATGTTTAGACTATAGCAAAATGCTTCCAGTTGGTTTCTGAAGGTGACCTTGGGGATGTCTGGCACACAGCAGAGACAATAGAATACAGGTGAACCCTTACCACTTGAATCTGCCATTACAAATAATATCCAGTAACTGAGAAACTATGGGGCTTTGTGTGCAAATATGCATTCGGAATTGAAGTTTCATATGCATGCAGAGAAAATCAAGAAGCCAAAGACAGATCAGCAACCTTCCTCCTCCAAAACCGTATTCTTCCTTTTGCTTTGAAGCTTATATTTAAGTCTTCTGTTTTTGTAACTCTTCAGGGTAGGAAGCATGAATTAAAAATCATTCCGTGACCCATTATTATTTTATAATCCTCTCTTTGGCAAGTTGAAAGCACTAACTTGCCAGACTTGTATTAAATTTTCATGGAATGATGTGAGGGAGTGAAATACAATGGCCTAGACAAGGGAAAGTACAGGAAAACGAGGTGGTATTGGGAAAGCCTGCACAAAGAGATAGAAAAGGGGTGTGTTACAGAGTATATGTTTTGAAGTGTTTTTATTTTAGATCAAAATAACATTTCTTTTAGTAACAGCTTGTATAAAAACATATAATAACATAATATACATTTTATATGTACTGTAATATTGATGTGAGGAACCACACAGGAACAGCGGGGCCAAAAACGACACCGTGATTATTCTCAACTTCAGAAAGGAGAACTATGTAAAAAGGAAGATTCTTGTTTAAAAGAAGTTGAAGGAGTATGGTTAAGAGGATTAAATCCTCACAGACAACATAGAGACCCCTGAAGAATGATATGCTGGGCGTATAGCACCAATACGTGCCACTTGGTGGAAATATTTTGGGGACAGGTTAAAGGAAAACAGAGTAGCTCACCAGTAAAGCAAGGAAAGTAATTAAAAATGAGAAGTTATCAATTGAAATGAAGCAGGTGCGGGAATGAAAAAAGTTATAAATCCTGAGAGAATAAACATAAAGCTGTAATTAGACTTGTGTTTGCTTTGTAAATATAGCGGGAAATATTCAAGGTGTTTACATTCTCCATAAGTAATGTGACTTGTCTCTGACATCAAAACACAAAATGATGGCTCTATTCACTAGTTCTCCTGCCATTCATATCATTCATATTAGGAAGAAAATGAATATAAAGTACTATGCAACTGTGGTATTTCATACTTGTTCTAGTCAGTGTGGATGACAATAGAAATTGTGGAACAAAAATGGATCTAAATTTTTCTAAACAGTCTTATCTGCACACCAGATCATATGAATCTTTCCCTATTCAGAGATGAGAATGGCATTAGTGCATGGTAAATCAAACTGCCTGATATTATAACCATACCCTGGAGTCACACAGTGTGTTTATCTGCATCTCATTAATGGCAAATTTACTCCTTAATGCAGCAGGGCCAAATCTGTCATGCTCACAAATGCTGATCTTCCACATTCACAAAGTTCCCACTTACACGCAATGAGACCCCATGTAGTAATATCCATAGTTTCAGGATTATACCTTCAGCCTCTCCTTACTTGTCCTCACAGCCTTGCGAGAAGTCCTTTTCTATAAATGAGCTGTGATTTTTAAGGACTGGATAAATATACATTAACTTTTGTTTACTTCTCAAGTCTACTAACTGTAAATTCTGTTCACAGGAGTTCAGTACAGTGAATTCCAAAAAGGTTTCCTCAAGTGCTCTTGAAAACAAATATGTGAGCAATGGGAAATATTTTTATCAGTGGCTCTTTCAATTCAGAAACAGAATCACTAACATGAAAACAAACTGATATCTAACTTATTTTTGTCCTGAAAAAGATGAAAAAGGTTAACAAGACAGCTCTTTTCACGTATTGCTGGGCAGTTTCTCCATGTTAAGCTTTTGCATTTTTTTTTGCATTTCTGGTTTTCCGGTAGCAGAATTACTTGTCCTCTGTTTAGTGAGAGAAATGTTTTTCAGGCACTTCACTGAACAGTTCAAATGATGAATAAATTGAAGAATAATTAAAATAATAAAAACATTCATCAAGAGGGAAGACACCCTGGAACACTGATGAAATAATCTGCAGCCATTTCTTTCCTTCACATTTCCCTTTATTTCATATTTCTTTTTCCTAGCTGTTTCTACAGCTACATGTGTTTTCTCTAGCACTGCCTACTGGATTTTATTCTTGTTATGACTACACACACATCTCTATTTTCTGTTGATGGCTCGATACTTCTAATATTATGTATTGAAATGTCATCTTGTGCATTCTGTGCTTCACTGCTGTTATAAAAATGTTAGGTTCCTATAAGACTAAAAGCAGCAAATAGATTGTGGGGTGTAGGGGGGGGGGAGGAGATAAAATTGTGGAGGTTTTATTTTGCTTCCTTAAATACAGTTGTGCCTTTCAGGAGACATTTTTAGGAGCTGCATTTGCTTTGTGTGGTGCTTTTCTGCAGTGACAGCAGGTAGTGGTTTAGTGGCAATTTTAAAATCTAACATTACTGTACATTACAAAAAGTACAATAGGGTTTTGGACAGCAAAACCTCTTAAAAATAAAACAAGATGACGTTTCTAGTTTCCTCCCTCTGTTGTAGCAACCTGTTCTTCCTGTTACTTGGACAATCATTCCACATCACAAAGCAGAGCCACTAAATCCTCTGTTAAATATAGAAAATAATAACTGAAAAAACTGCATAAATTCTGTGTTGTTAGTAATCAAATAATAGGCTTTTTTTTTTTTTTTTCTGAAACAAATGTGCATTTTCACCAGAATCACTAGATCTGTTAAATATTTGTGTTATTACTTTCCAGTTACTCTCCAGTGTATATACTACATGTATTGTAATCACTCAAAAGACAAGATTTGTTTTTAATTGTCATTTATTTCTTTTTTACTATTTTTACTATCTTCTCCATACAAACCTATTTTCTCTAAGCTGCAAGATTCTCAAAACATCAGCAGTACAATCATCTGCCTGTTAGTTTCCTTTTTTTTTTTTAATTTTATTATCAGCCATTAAGCAAATAAAAGGTAAGTTCTATAATCTAATTTTGTTAATGGAACTTAATGCAATTCTGCACAATTTAAAAATGAGTAAATAACCTCCTATACCTCCAACAAACATAAACAGACTGTAATAAGGCTACCAGGAAATATGCTTCAGAAAACTGCCAGAAGTGCAAAGAGTCCATACAGCAAAGCACATGGGTATGCAATAAGGAGCTGCTGTCCTTCCATGGCCAAGGCAGAGGTAAAAATTTTGGAGGCTGACAAACTGCACCATCCAATAATAAACAGAGCTAACAAAGTTCCCAGGATTCCACTGCAAGAAAAACAAAAGAAACAAAAAAGTGCATTTGTTAGCACATGTAGCATCAAATCATGAGCTCGTGTCTGGCAACTCATTACTGATAAGATAACAGATGCTGCAAGAACCAAGAGACCAAGGTAATTCCTTCAGCAGTGTCATCAGTGGTACTGCCAAAAAGAGAAATTGGTTTCCAGTATCTTTGTGGTCTCCAATAGATGCAGCAGCTGAAGACTCTTTTTTTCTTTTAAGTTAGCAAAGATCTTATTCAGCCAAAATCCATCAAGCAGAAGTCACTAGGATTTATAATGACACTACAATCCTACTCTTCCATCAGGTAGAATGATGACCTGGAGGTGATGTAGTTTTGTAACACTTCAAAGGTCTGAAGTGTGTCTCAGACTGAGGAGCAACAATTCAGGATGTACACTCAGCTGGCCATGCACATAGGTGTCTCCCAAGAGAAAGCCTAAGTGGGCTTTTAAAAGCTTCACATCTAGAGTAGTGTAAGGGACAGGCGAAGAAACACTGAGGAAATGTATTTTTGCTCATTTTGACATTCTCTTCACATTGTGGCTTTCCACTCTGCCCCTCAGTGACAACTAAGCTCTTCCAAAGTTAATTTTTGCTGCTTCTCAGGCACAGGGTGGCCAGGAGAATGGGTGATTATGAGACTGTGGTCAGAAGCCTGCTGGAATATTCCTGCATATTAGAGATTTGGCTATTAATCCCTGTAGGAGCAAGACCATGCCAATAAATAATGTTTCATATATGTTTTATTTGCACACTGTATTTGCAGTCTACTTCTATAAAATGCATGAGCTCATGTGCACAATGCTGCTGAGGTGCATATTGAGTTGGCTGTGATACACACACTTGCTGTGTCAGTCTCAAGGACCTCCAGAATGAACGAACATCTGCCACTTGCTAAATGACTTTGTGGGACTCTGTTCTTCCAAAGTACCAGCTAAACAGAATCAGAATCAGAAACAGACTACGTATACCTACTTAGGCTCATTTGTCAAAAATAATCTTCACTAATCTTGTGCTGGAGGTAATCCTCCAAAATCTCACTAAACTAAACCACAGTGAATAAAGCTCTCCTTTAATTGCCTTAGTTTACGTATTGCATTTACATAAAGTCATACTTCATTCCTTTCTTTCTGTCTCCAAACCAATAAGGTACTTGATGTTCTTAGCTCTTGCAGCTTTGGAAAGGAAGGAGAAAACTGATTTTAAGGTGACTCAGCACCTTGTTGCAACATCAACGTACTATAAATAAAACAATAAAGACCATGTAGTTTATTATTCTCAGTTGAAGTGTCCTGCTAAGCCTATGCAGAGGCATTCAGGGAATTACACTGTGATTACACTGTGAACTAAGCCTCTTCTCCAAGCAGAGACACAAAGATGCTCAGTTAACCAACTAGCCAGAAACTCAGAGCTAGTATGGATTGCTTCTTGATCTATCCATATGGTTGCAAAGGTTAGAAATCTACAGGAACTTGCTGCCTGAGGATAATTTGCAGCTACTGTAATGACTCTTTAGGGGCCAATTACAAGGCAGTACAATTTAGAGCTCTGCATTGCACTGAGGATCCAATGGCCTCTAATAGTTTGTTCCAGAACAGGCAGAGAGCAAGATGGAAAGGTGACATAAAATCCTGTTGGAGCCAAGGGATAAGTCTGTGCGCTTGTACATTCAGTCCTTGATCTTACAGCACACTAAATGCTGATATGAGCAGGCTAGCTTTAGCAAACAGCATGTCTTATGTGTTGATGAGGTTTAGATCATCCTGCATGGGAGACGGACAAGGAAAAGGTGTCATGCTTACAGTAGCTTAGAGGGTTTATGGAGGAGTACAAAGATAGAGCTGGGTGAGCAAACAAGAGCAGTGCCTCTCCCTCTCTATTAACAGCTTGCAAATAGAGTCATCAAATGAGTCCTGTACATCAGATGGGTCAAATAAATCTTTTCTCCAATCTTGAACTCATTTCCTTCACTATTTAGTCAAGGAAATGCTGTGGTCAGCCTGTTCATAGAGGTGATAGTGAAGAATTGTTTTTTATTTCCAGGAAAAAAAAAAAATTGCTGATATTTCTTCCAGAAAGATCGCTTAATCAGCTTGGCCTCAGCATGACATCAGCATAGATGGCTACAAGTGAAGCTTTAGAGAATCTGGTTCCACACAAGTCTGAATAAGAGAACTGGTCCTCTCTTATGGTGCCATTCAGCATCCAAAGGTTTCACATTTTGTGTCATTCCCAATTAACACTGAAATAGATGATCATGAATACCACAAATTGTTGAATTAATATTTATCTTTCATTTTATATGCGTATAATCTCATGTATATTTACTATGAGAACAGATTGAAGTTTTCAAATTCTTTACAATTTGAAATGGTTGAAATAACTTTTCACAAAGATTAGGAAAAAAAAAAGCATGAACGTACTGCTGTTTTTCCTTTGCAATTTTAAATAATTTTTAAAATTAAAAACAATGAGTCATACTGGATTTAAATTTGCTACTTAATTTTAGTACAAGTTAATAATAGATCTTTGTGCAATACATAACTTTTTATTGATTCAAGGAGTTTCATATAGCAAATGAGAAAGGACTGCAGAATCTTAGAGACAGATACTTGACATTATCAATTCATTTCAGAAATTATAGTTTACTTTTGTAAAGTCTATCTCACTAGAATATAGATTTTCAAAAGATGTGCTTTCTCAAACTCACAGCATTTTACAAGGCTATGGTGTGTGCTTGGTGACTCCTTGTACAGTCAGCAGCATCCCATGCAGTTATAACAGCTGGCTTGGAGTTAGCCCCATCTGTCCTCTGATTACATATTTGCACCTTTTATTTGGGTGGATTATTAAACAGGTTAATCAAGCAAATATGGAAGTGTTGGAGAACAGAGAATGAGTGGCTTCTTTAGTGTCACTGCTGCTCATCTTTTCAAGGACAGTTGAGTAACACTTGAATATACAGAATAAAGTCAGTCTAATATATTATAGCTCTACAGAAAAAAGCAACAATTATGCTAAAATCTTAACAATGCAGTATCATTTCCTTAAAAAATAATTTCATACGTAAAATTGCAGTTTTATCAGATAAAAGAAACAGGTAATTTTATTACTCATCAGCTGCCAAGTCCCATGTCTTGCTGGTTGGAGAGTTCAGAAAATATTCAAAAAGACCAAGGAGGGGAGCTATTATTAATACTGTGTTCACTATGGATAAAAAGTACTGCCCAAAGAACTTCAGGCAAGACCTGGAACATTTTTATGCTTTTCTTTATGTCAGCATAGAGGTAAACACAGTCCATATCTCAAAAAGCTTAGGGAATGAAGAGGAAGGAGGGGCTTGCATGAAAATTTCTTAATTCTTATGTATATTAATTAACACTCCTCCATACACTCACAGAGGTATATACAGTGCTGCACATTATTTTTTTCAAAGTGATTATACCATAACTATTCTTTGGAGAATAGGACTTAGCTACATCTTACTGCTCCACTTCATTAAAGGTTCATTCTGTTACACAGAAGTCAGACTACAGAAATAAAGGAAATACAAGGACGGCAGCCTGGTATTATGAACAAAAAAAAGCAAAAAAACCCAAACCAAAACAAAAAAAAAACAACCAAGAGAATCAGCTATGTCAAACCAAAGTCTATGAGTCTCTTTCAAAATTGATACCTTAGTTTGGATACTATTGGTTCTTGGAAAACAAAAAGCATATTTGGGGCTGCTGCAAAAATCAAAGCCACTCTTAGTCCCCTTGGGAAACAGTGGAATCATATTAAAGTGATTTTATATCACCCTTCTCAAACACAGACCTTCCTCTTCCATTTTGCCCATTTTCACCTACATAGAATGGTGTATTTCTTCACAATTTTGGAAGATAAAATTAACTACATAACCATTTACAAAACATTTTTGTAACACTTCTGACTCACGGTCCTTCAGATGGTTCTTGCTGCCAAGCACTGGTACTTACTGTAGAGAGAAGATGGCTGCAGAAGAGGATAGGATCACCATGGGCAGCAGGCAGTAGCCCAAAACACTTGCAACACAGCCATGCGAGACTCCTGGGATGCTCATCAGGTTCAGCAGGGCATGCATAACAAGGCACCCAGTGATACTCACTCCATACACATAGCTAAAGTGAACTTTTCCTGCCTGGAAAAAACATACAAAAAATAGTGTTGGAAGGGAACAAATGATTGCAAGGTGGATGGAAGAAATTAAGCACTACCTTAGTTCTACTTTTTTTATTGACAGCCACTTTCTCCTCACTTTGTCTTCATTGGTTCAATTGCAAACATTGCTGCTACTTTTGGGTGATTTTTGCATCAAAACATTCCAAGGTAAAATTGTGACAATGTGGTTGTTGCTAATTTAAAGTTATCCCACTGATTCTCAGCCTTATTCTCATTGGGCTCGGAAGTAACACAGCAGTTGGTCAGGGAAGCTTGTGAAGATCTAACTGGTAACAAGCTGAGAACAAATTATGGACATGGAAAGCACTTTTTAGTGTCAGGAAGATGTTTCCAATCTTCACAAATTCAAAGACTGTGGAAATCGAAAACCTTAACGATTTCAGTACGTAGGTCAGTGGAAAAGTGTCCCGAGTAAAACAACAGCCTCACTTAAAACACTTTTCATTTTATTACAGATTTAAGTAGATCTGAAAAAAAAAAATAAAAATCAACAACCCAAAAGCTAGTAAGCCTTTGCTGAAACTATGCTATTTTTCAAGATGAATGTGACCATTCTTCCCCTTGACTATCACGAGAAAGACACATCTCCGTGGTTAGATCAATACAGCACGTTCATTTCTAGATAAACTGTAGTAGCAACAGTCAGATCATGTTCTTTTGTTCTCCACTGAAAGAAAAATCCCCCAGACGGCTGTTGATTTTTTTTGTTTTGTTTTGTTTTTGTTTTTGTTTTGGTTTGTTTTGGTTTGGTTTTTGTTTTGTTTTGTTTTCCTTCTTCCAGGTTTTATTTCTCTGTGTGAATTTAGTGCCTCTGAAAGGTACCAGCCTGACAGCCTGGAGTCTGATGTTCTATAATTTACACACAAATCTAGTACAACAGGCACCAGTGGCCATAGCACCACCAATTTCTTAATCTCTTGCCATTATTTTGGAGGATTACCTCCAGACAAGAGTGCATTTCTCATTCAAGATATATTGCTAAATCTTTCTCTCTCTCTTCAAGATTCTAACAAAAGAACTACTGAATGCCAGGTACACAGTAGTGTGATTTTAACATCTGTTCATCCAAAATAAACAGTGATCTGGGATGAAGACAAGTTTGTTTGTTTTGGAACTTTGCTTCTTAAAGATAACACGCATTTATGAAGGGGATAGCTTAAACCCTGGATAGATGCCTTGCACACATCTATCCATATGCAAAGCAGACCTAGCTGCTACTTCCCAAATTACTACTGAAAGGCAACTGCAAAAACAGTTAGACTGAGAACTGTGGATGTTGCAGACTTTAATTTCAAAGCTGAACAATACAACTTAAAACGTGGTTCTACATTTCCTAAACAATACTATTATTTTCTTTTTCCTATTGAGCTCATTATGCCCCATACCTGGAGGTGTTCAAGGCCAGGTTGGATGGGGCCCTGGGCAGCCTGGTTTATTAGATATAGAGGTTGGTGGCCTTGCATGCATCAGGGATGTTGGAGCTTCATGATCCTTGAGGTCTCTTCCAACCCAAGCCATTGCATGACTCATGTTTTCACTTGTATGTATGTATGACTCAACCCTCAGCTTGATACTGTGGAATAAACTTGTCGAAGGAAGTGCCACAATGCATCACCTTTCTAACACGTAAGAATACATATAAACATACTTAACACTCAGATGCATTTGTGTGTGTACTTTCATATGTCACTCATTACATACTGCATAGGATAAATTGCATGAGAATTGAAGCTTAGAGAGGGTTTCAGTTTTCCATTCATTTTGTAGCTTAAGCTTGGATTCTCTTATGGTGCAAAAGATGGAAATATTACTGAGTCTTTTCCTGGTTTAAAATATTTACAGGTATCTCTTCCACAATGGTTTAGGAGGATTGATATTTACTGTCCTCAAGCTCATATTTTAATGAATCCTGGGGGAAACTAAACATCTTTGAAGACCTTGTTTCTCTGGTCCCTCATTTGTATGGAAGCTAATCACGGGCTGCCAGCAGTATTGAGGTGGACAGATATAAAGAAATGTAAAAGAGAGAGAATAATCTAGTGGTGGCACAAGTTGAAAGTCCTGAAGTTGCAGGTTGGTGTCAGCTCATCTTATGAAGAAAGAGCACTTAAATGAAAGGCAGCCTCAGCTAGTAAGACCTGACACTCCATCAGCACCATCTGCTTTTCAGCTCATCCTGGCTCACTGCTGACCTCTCCTCTGCTTCCGAGTTAGATAGAATCAGGTTACCCAGTCTTGCATTGACCAAGTGCTTGCTAAAGAAAGAGACCTTTGCTAGTGTTTGCATACTACTTGTATAAAACAATCAGGAAAAATTGCTCCACCAAATAGAATTAATGACAGAGGTAGCATGGAAGAGCAGTGATAGGTGAATTATTATCAGTCACAATTTCAGTTTCTGAAGTTCTGTATTAAGTTTAACATGTGTGGCTGTTTGGGACAGCATATACTGTTGGTCAATTAGGAAAAATTATGTCTCACAGAGATGCAATAATGACTATAAGCTAATATTTTAGGCTGTTTGTTTTGGTGTTTTTAATGGTTTCATACAGCACTATTTGGCAGCTTAATCTAAGATTACCATAAGAGTTGAAGGAAGCATAGCCAACTGAAACCTCCATTTGGTGCAGTGTTTGATTTGTGGTGCAGGGGAATGAGAGAGAGAGAAAACGCAGCTGAACGCATTTGTTCCAATTTGAGCTGTTGCTAACTTATGTAAATATACTGACTCACGCACACGGGAATACTCCCAGTTCACAGCAATGTAAGCAAAACCAGAATCAGACTTGATTAGCCTGGCAGGCTTTGATGAATTGAAAGTACTAAATTTGTCCTGCGGAAGGAACAAGGTTAGAAGAAAGTCAGACCTTGTGTGCTTGTTTGCACCTGCCTGGAGTGGGTGCTGCTACCCTCAGTTTCAGGATATGGAGAAGTCCTGTGACAAATGACTATGCAAAATGCAAAGCGTGCAAACTTTTGCACTGCTGTTGTTTCTTTCTCTGCAATGGAGCTGCCTTGCTTTTCACCAGCATGAGGAAGAACAAGTCCTGCTGCCAGGCTAAGAAACCCTTTCTCATTTTCTCTGTGATCCAAAAGAAATGTTAACATTTAAAGAACATCTTTGCATATTTTTCATAGTTAAACAGCTGAAAGTAAGTAAAATTTCTAAATCACTCCTTGAAACAAGCTTTTAACCAAATTACATTCTTATAAAGTATAAAAGTATACTTCCTATGAAGTATAAAAGGATATCGTAACTTATATAGCTCAAGAACAACTCTGGTATTCAAATGTATCCAAAATAAAAATAGGAAGTTTGAATTTTTAAAATGGCCATGGAAATCCCATAAACATTTTCCTGTGAAACTGTGGCACAAAAACTCTCACAGTAGACTGTGTCAGAGGAGTTGTTCTTGCTAAAATCTAGAGCACTGAAAGTGGTTGTTTTTCCAGTGACAACATGTTTAATATCTTAGAATAAAAATGGTAATTTAGGTACTTTATTTCAATAATACTAGCTTAATATTCATTGTAATATCTCACTGTCCAAGGAGAAAAATCAGCAGCACTATTTTTTTTATGCTCTCCTTCCATTGTTCTGTTTGTAGTCAATTCAGCACTTTCTCCTTTATTCCCCTCATCTTTATTTCTCTAGGTGGGAGAGAGCCCATCTTCTGTAGCTTTCCACCTTCTTTTCCCAAATTCCATTTCCTGCTGCTGTTTCTGCTCTGTTAAAATATTTTCAGTTTTACAAGCACATAAATAATAACACTTGCCTTTTATATTGCAGTTTGCACAGTCAAGGTACTACACTGACATTACAAATTGAGTAAGAACTTTCAAGTCTTCTGATTCAGCACTATTTATCACAGAGGAAAAGGAGAATTAGAGCCCCTTTTCTCTCCCCTCAGGTGTCAGTGCAGCAAACCCTCCCCAGAACAGTCCCACTTTGTCCCTGTCTGATAAATGGTTGCTGACAATCAGAGCCGTCCTTCAGCAGTACCAGAGAGCCTCTGTTGTCAGTGACAAATAGATGAATTTTGGACTAGTGTACAATCTTTCTTTCAGCTTTCCTTCTGTAGGAAAATCTATTCATGAAGAGGAAAAAATTTAAGCACAGGCTTAAATATTTTGTTTAGCAGATGATGTAGAAAGAGTGTGTAGATTAAGAAGATGCTAGCAAAATTTATAGAAAGGTATTGTAAATTTTGACAGGGAGGTAGAAGAAGTTGAAATTCTTGTTGAAATATTTTTAGTTGCATAAAGATAGATATATTTTTCTTTTATATCTCCTCACTCCCCAGAATAACAAGTGAGAGAGGATAATTAAAAAAAAAAGCAGCAAGAGTGCTTTAAAAACTGGGCTGGTCTGCTATGCCTTCTTTTTCCCTCCTTTGGAAATTCCCTTTTATGTCCTTACCTACTTCATGTTGTGCCTCAAGTGTTAAGAGCCTCCTCAGCCTGTGCACTGTGCAGATCTTTGTTCATATTAATCCCTACCTCCAATAATGGTGAGATCTTTTATTTCCACTGGAAGTAACACACTACTTTACTTGTATTACATCTACATTACAATTAAACATTATGTGCTTTCAAGCAAGAAGTCTTTTTTACATGTAATATTGGGAAAATAGCAGAGAATGACTCATTTTATATATACATATATTTGTCAGATCTACATCTGCTACTTCATGTACATTAATCACAGAGGCATTAACTTGTCAGAAAATTGATCACTTAAATTAGCACAACCTACCAGCAGCAACGTTGCTCCAAGGGCCAAACAGAAAACCACAGGTCCAGTGAGGTCCGTCTCGATCATAATGCTGCCATCTGCAGGTTTCATTGGATTTAGAACTGTTAAAGTTTTTTGCCATATGTGCTCAAAATTTATCCCAAGTTCTGCAATGAGAAATTCCAGAACTGCTTACAAGAGAACAGCACTTTTACAATAACCCAGTAGATATCACAGATCACTAAACAAATTAATCACTTGAATGAAGATAATGTTGTAGGATGATATATTCTGTAGTAGATCATGCTGTACATTTTCATCCAGTATAGCTGAGAGTCAGCTCTGATTCTAAACTGGAAATATTTTTTTATTAAATCTAATGAGTCAAGAAATGCCTTCAGCATTTTCAAGTTAATATTTGTTTTTCCTATATTAATATATATATATATATATAAAGTGCACTAACTTAGATGCTGAAAAATATGCTAATTAACATTAACTGCAGAATTCAAGATATTCTGGAAAACTGAAGACACAGATATATGATTTAATTCTGGTAAGTCTGACAAGAGATGTGTCTTAAGCCTTAGCAGCCAGAGGCACTTAAAAATGACATTCTTTCCTTCAAGGCAAGTTAATAATACTTTGTAGAGTGCTTTATAAGCTTTTTGCATTTAAAACGTAATTACTGGAAACCCTGGAAACAGAACAAATTTCTTTCCCATTAAAGTCAATAGGAATTCTGATACTGCAAAGATTTCTTTTCTGACTTCTTCAGAAACACTTCATCTTGAAAGATCAGTCATTTTTCCTGAGATGCTCCAGCAAGGAAAAGCTAGATTCAGAACTGGTTGCCAAAATGACTGAGACTGACAATATGTTAGAGCTGTTTGAAAAGCTAGCTCTTCACTAATCCATCATCTCGAACTAAGACAAAACATTACATAAATAAGGTTGTTCAGTATTAAAATGTTTGATCTTGGTCAATTTATTTGACACAGTCATGAGTGTCTCTGCAGCTCTGCAGGTCACAAGTAGTTGTATTTCAACATCCTTTTCATGGAGTGAGCTGCCCGTGTGATTACATGCCTGAAGGACTGAGAGTTGGAGGTCTAGAAGTTATCCATGTCATTCAGAACGATCTTGCTGGTTTAAAGTAGTGCAAAAAATGGCTGCATACTTTCCTTTTATATAACTGTGGAGTAGTCACAATTTTTTTATTATTATTATTTTATTTTTTTAATGTAGGTAGTACTGGTGTTTTGCTAACTGAATGTTCATCTACAGGTCAGTCACTAGCGTTAAGATATTTCAATCATCATGAAGAATGATGTTGTCCATGCAGTTAAGTGATCAACAAATTGAAGCTGAATGCAGCTTTAAACATTTCCTTTACACTGAAACAATCTAGTTAGCATCTTCAAACTGTAAAATTTATTACTAGATAAGCAAATAAGATTATTATCAATATTTATTAATTAAAGATATTCCAGTATGCATGCAGTATAAACATGGAGCAGAAAAATATTTGGAAATATGAATGTAAAACTTATTGTTATGCTGTCATCTAGTGGTAGTAAAGCATATGCCATATAAATGACATAATGAATTAACCCTTACGGAACTCAGATAAGAAAATTCAGGCTTGAGGACAGGAGCAGTTGGACAAAGTTGAATTCACAAGGGCAAGTTCAACAGCCAGGCTGAGCACCTGTTGTAGATACTCTGGTGGCTGACACTAGTTAGGAAACAGAAGCATACAAACATGCATTGTCCTTGGTTTTATTTTTACCTTCTAGCAAAGGAGGTTCCTCATCAAAACCATCAGTGTAGCTAAGGTGAGAGAGAGTGTTGGAACTGTATAGAACTGTTGGCTGTAAAATCTGACCTGTGTAACTCTGAGATGGCAACAGCATTTCTGAGGGGACAAAAGCACCAGCCAGAGGTCTGTGTCCTGTCTGGCTCCTGGGACAAGAAGCAAATTGCAGTGAAACAAATGATGGCAGTGAGCAACTCAATGGTTCCCTAGAACTGTTTCTTTCACCCATGTGCCATGGTTTACATTTTCAACTATTTTCAACATTAGTGCAGATCCCAATCCTTTATAATAGGCTATGATAGGCTTAATTATAAGTAAATCAGCCTTGGGGAGGTATAGATCTCAAAGCTCTTTGCTGCTCTATTTTCCATGATTTCCTGATTATTATTATATATAATTTTATTTCTGTATGACCAGAAGGCATAGAGAGAGCTGGGCCTAATCTCTCATCCTTTGACACCCATCTTTCTGTTTCAATCAAAATTATTTTTTATTCCCTGATATTTTCCAGAAGGGAGGTGCAGACTCTGTGGAGCACTGCCATTGTGGGTAGGGCTAAATGAACATCTTTGTAGGGCAGAGAGTTTTATGGCAGGTCAGGCCTTTTCATCTCCCTGTGCAAGTCCTAGGACCAGCCAAATCCATCAGCTGCTGAACAGGGAGGCTGCAACAACATCCAGCCTCTTGCAACATGGTTGCTTAGAAATCTCCTTAACTTAGAACTTCTTTTCCTCAGTGTCTTTCTTCCAGGGGCACAAGTCACCATTTGATTTCAAAAAAATACATTAGAAAAAGGGATAAATGTATTTTCTTCATCTTTCTACTGCTACAACTTCTACTTCACCCTTAAACTCCAGCTGTATTGTTCACAGAATCCTTTTGTTTCAACTGAATGCTTTTCTTTGTCATTAATTTCACCTCAGTTTTGAAATCCCTCTCTTCTTTTTGTTTTGGTAGCATACTTACTTTCTATTTCCACTCAAGTTTTCACTAGAGTCACAAGTGCTGTAATCTTCCTGGTCATCTATGTTGTAATTGGACTGGTAAAAGTCACAGTGAAACTGTTCAAAATGTGCCATTCTGAAGAGAAAAAAATATATACATAAATTAATTGTGTATATTGATAAAATCATCTTTTGTACAAGCAAATATCTAAGCTTCCCTAATCCACACATTCAAAAGAATGTTTGGAAGTGAAACAAAGAAGGAACTGACAAAAAAAAAAAAATCTTCAGTTTCCATATTACTGTATATTAATTTATACACAGCATTAGAATGGAGGAAGAAACTTTCTCCAATTACTAATAAATAACTTCCTGTCAGAACAAGGGGCAGAAGACACAAACTGGAACACAGAAAGTTCCATCTGCACATGAGAAAGAATTTCTTTACTGTGAGGGTGCACTCAAACAGGCTGCCCTGAGAGTCTCCTCCTGCGGACATATATAAAACCTACCTGGATGCTTTTCTGTGCAACCTGCTGTAGGAATCTTGCCTTAGCACTAAGTTGGACTGGATGATCTCCAGAGGCCCCTTCCAATCCCTTCGATTCTGTGAGAAAGAAGATAAATAAACTATTATTCTAAGGAGTTCATTTCCTTATTTTAAAAGAAATATACAAATAAAAGAGCATACAGAAGGTTAAGAATGGACTCATTCACATCAGCATTAGAATTCTGGTGATCTTTACTTTTATTTTACGTTTTACTTTTAGATTTTTAACTTAATGTTCATCTTTGGTCCCTCTCATTGGACGTTTATATTCACAATTAGGATCCCCCTGAGCTCTCCTCCAGCCTGAAGCTCTGGGCGGGACCTTTGCCTGGATGTAAACACCAGAACACATGTAAAACACGCAGACACACATACATGTTTTACCAATTGATTAGCATTCAGCTCAACAACCTGACTTTTAACTATAACAATTTCTGATTTACTTGCATTTTCATATAAGACACTAGACTAACCTAATATTTTCCCCTTTTCTTTACTTTTGCCCTTTTTTCCAACATCTCAAATATCATTGGCAAAACACTTCAATTTTACATCTCTTTTTTTATCAGATGCAGGCTGTTTACAGTAAAGATCTTTGCAGAAATTTTTATAAGGTAAAAGTTACAAAGATTAGTATTTCAACAGGGACCTTGAATGCATATTAAAATTTCTAAATTGCATTGCAATTACTCACACTGAATCTGTGAGGACCAAATTTCTTCATTTATCCAATATATTCAATTGTTAATGTTGTTTTCTTTACTGCTGAAAAAGTCATGCAGGATTTCCAGATTTAGGAAATAAAATAACATGTTGTAAATATGTTTAATACAGATTTTACATGGATTATATTTTAAAAGACTACAGAATCCAACCCAATAGTTCAATTCCTGTGAGTCTTTAATAGAACATTAAAAACTATTACTACAAGGAAATAAATAATTAATTAAACAGGTGCATACTTTGTCTGTGTAGTAGAATTCAGAAAAGATAAGCTTTTTTTTTTGTTTGTTAAAGAAAAATTAGGAGCTAAGGTTACTTACTTTTTAATATATTCGATGAAAACACCAGTCTGTTGAATTTACATGTTGGAAAACACCTAAAATATCCTCTTGCGTTAACAGGGATGAGCTTAGTGCTATTTATAAGATTCTAAATTTGATCATTGAACAGATGCATGCGAAGGAAAAAAGCCACACAGCATGTCAATAGCATGGGCCTATGCAAAAGAACTAAAAACAATAAGCACAGAATATAAAAATCTTCAAGGAAAGCAGAAAAAAATAAGCAGAATTTTATAAATTTCGGTCAACATTGTAGACTGTATCTGACACCTTCTTTCTTATGTAGGTATGGGAAAAGATCCTTGTGAAGCCCTCAAGAGCTGAGCTTTCATATATTAAACATTTATAACAATATGTAATATTGTTATGAATAATGAATATAAAACGTAAATGGGGGTATGCTCCTAGCAGACATTCCTAGGGTGTACTATGGGTCATGTACAGCCTTAAAGGTGCTCCTTGTGGCTGACAGGGGAACCTTTTTGTTGCAACCAATTTGGAGAGAATATGGTGCTTCCTAGGACCACAACAACAGGCGGGAAGAATGAAGGCATTTAAGATACAGCTCCATTACATGGCCAAAGGCACATCCAGGCTCATATGCTGCCCCACTGCTACTCTAGATGCTCCTATCCATCTTCAAGGCTGCCAGAAGCTCTCTCTAGCTGCAGCATCCACCACATCAAGGTCACAGCAAGCAATGAAAATAAAAGGCAATGAACCTTTAATTGTCACCCTTTGACAACCTTCACTGCTTTTGTAGACATCAGATTCTGGTTAACTTTTTTCCATTCATCACTCAGCATAATATCCATTTCAGTGCCTGACCCACTATGGAACTTCAGGAGCTTTTCTTTTACAGTCCTAACTGTTAGAAAACTTGCAGCACAGATTGAATTTTGAAATAGTACCTAAACCTCAAAGAATACTTTCTATTTACCCAAATTTTAGTAACACGCACTCAGTAAGTCATAACAGGTACTGCTTTTTTCATTTATTTATTGGATAGTTTCCCAAAGATCACTTGAACTGGTTTATTTAAAAATGAGACATTAAATGAGATATATTAGCAGGTCATTAATCTGTGCCTCAGGTGCATTTGTATGTGTAATATGTATATACAATTCTGTGTAGTTGAAGGCCAAATGACTTCCATTTCATTAGAATAATCACGCCCTGTTGGTGTATGACCTATAGATCTCTTAAACAATTATAATATTGATACACTTTCAATTAAGAAAAAATTATACCAAATACATTATTTTAAAAATATGTATGTCCCCAGAAGAGCCCAGAAGTGAAGAATGATGAGAAGTAGAAAATATAGCATGTATTTCTACTACGTGGGGGTACAGTACTTGTTAAAGCCATTGTAAAGACTCTCTCACACTGTTTCATTGTTTTTTTTTTTAATTTTTGCCTCCAATTTCCATACTGCTACACCCAACAAAGTGAATTCTCAGTTTCATTTCTTAGCAAACTGCTAATCTCTGTATTGTTTAATCATCTCTGTTTAGAGATAAGTACTTAATCTTGTTCATACCAACTCAGGGTGGGGATTGAAATGGGATTAACACCTATCCTTGAGGAAGGTAATTAAAATCAATATATTTATTTTAAATAATTCTAGTTTGCTAGATAATGCCTGATTATTTTAACTACAAAAATGATATGGCTATTTTGCTACTTTCAATGAGAAAAAATTATACAAATAAAAATATGCATACACACATATGTGCATAACGGCTGTCAGATAATGACTTGGAATAATTATGAAACAAGGCAATTTAAGGAAGAATTGAAATGGAAAAAACTGCAATGATTGATAGAGAATTAAGATAGAGGTTAAAGAATATTTTGTAGTTTCTTAACATATCCCAGTCAGAAAAAAGAAAGGCACATGATTTTTTTTTTTTTTTAATCCATACTTTGCGAAATTAAAATAAACTTGAAATGTGTATATTTTCTATCCATATATAAAATCAAAATATAATGTGCCTTAAATATATTTCAACCATGCATTTATTCTTCATGAATATCCCTGTGTATATAAACACAAAAGTGCATCTAAAATACAAATATGGAAACTGATATTAGAAATGATGATGTAGACTAAAAAAAAAAAATAAGAAGGCTAAGTATTTGAAGGAAAAGTGATCACTAGAAACAAAGACTATCCAAGTTTATTATAAATGGACAGAATTATACTTCTACATTCTCCTATCAAGAAGAAATAAAATTGAAAATAAGACATTATAAATTTGAAATGCCAAACGATGATTAAATATACTCCATGTAAAAAGTATGTAAAACGTATGTTTTGAGATACATATCTTACAATTCTGTACTTAAGTACAGTACCTGAGTTTCATAGAATCATAGAATGGCTTGGGTTGGAAGGGACCTCAAGTATCATGAGGCTCCAATTCCACTGCTGTAGGCAGGGCCACCACCCATATCTAATACTAGACCAGGCTGCCCAGGGCCCCATCCAACCTGGCCTTGAAAACCTCCAGGGATGGGGCATCCACAACCTCTCTGGGCAGCCTCTTCCAGCACCTCACCACTCTCTCCCTGACATCCAACCTTAATCTTCCCTCCTTCGACTTAAAACTGTTTCCCCTTGTCCTACTATTATATTCCCTTTCGAAGAGTTGACTCCCCTCCTGATTATAGGCTCCCTTTAGGTACTGGAAGGCTGCAATGAGGTCACTCTGCAGTCTTCTGCAGGTTGAACAAACCCAGCTCCCTCAGCCTGCCCTCATAGGAGAGGTGCTCCAGCCCTCTAATCATCCTTGTGGCCCTCCTCTGGATCCTCTCCAACAGCTTCCTGCCTTCCTTGTATTGGGGGCCCCAGACCTGAACACAGTACTCCAGATGGGGCCTCACCAGGGCAGACCTGAGAGGGAGAGGAAAATTCAAATTTCAAAACCGGTGAAGAATTTTCAATTCTGCAAAGTTACAAAACAATGGGAAAGTTGAAAAGATCAGAAGTAAATATACCATTTTGTAAAAGGCTAATGAGACACCCTGAGTAATTGTTTGCCCATCAACATAAGATTAATCCCAACAAATTATGGGCTCAGATAATAAATAACTGAATCGATGTATCCAATCAACATGGGGTTTGGAAACTCGCAATTTCAAACTAATTTATGTTTTAACGAGATTAATATTTGGGAAAGGTAACCACTGATGACCTGTATTTATACAAGGCATATTATTTGTTTTTGCTTCAATAAATATAGAACCATCGCTGCTTAATGGGACAGCCATTATACTGATTAAATAATTGCGATCTGTTGCATTTCAAACGTAATTGAGAGAAGGATGTCTTTCTAATGGAGTCTTACAGGACATAAGCTTTGTTAACATAATGTAGCAGACACCTTGAAGCAAAATATACAAACCGGAGATGGTTATAAGGTGATTTGATCATAATCTGTTAGGATATAACAGAAAGCAAATAATTTAGAGACAGTTGAAGCTATTAGTTAAAAGTAAAATGAAACTCAAAGTAA